CATTTGTACAACCTGCCTTTTTCTTGGCAGGAAATCGCGCAAGAAATTGCGTGGCCATTGTCGTTGCGTTCAAAAACTTGTTTACTCTAGGAACTTGTTTTTAAGTATTTCATGGCATAAAGATTTTGTGACCGTAGTGCTCAGTTTCTAGTAAACTGTTTCGAAAACATTGTTATGGAAGCAAACAACAGCGGATTGAATTCAGCCTATTTGCTTATAAGTGAAGCGCGACGAGAAAGAGAAACAAGAAAAAGGCAGAGAGCAAGAATTATACAGGCGAAAAGCTAGCGAAGAGGATCGCCAAAGAGGTGTCGATGTATCATCTGTTACTGATTGCTGAAGCTGACAGGGTTTTGTGTCATCTTATTATGTTTCAACGTCTTTTTGCACTGGATCTACAGAATGAAATACAGCTGCTATCAAGGTTCTTTTGTTATTCTTGGCTGGCTTGTTTATTGGGTTTTAGGTTGAGAAATGCACCGCTTGGCAAAAAATAAGCTTAATCGGAAATCATCGTTTTCAAAAATAAACTACTCTTAGTACTTCGCCTTGCTGGATGCGTAAGAGGGTTTAAAAGTCTTAAAAAATTCTGGCCTTACTTGATGGCTTGCACGAACGGCATCTCCACTGGTAACCTTGAGTTTGATGTTAGGTTTTTTTTATTTCCTGCCGTGACTTTACGCAGATTTGTAAGATTTGAAACAATGATCTGACCTAATAGAGAACTTAAAAAGTCTTAACATATTTTCTGACCGCGACTAGAAAGAAAGCGTTCTGAAGAGTATTTAGTTATCCTATTGGTTGTTAAAAGAAAGCTTTGAGCATTATTCTTGCCTCGAGTTCATCTTGAAAAATAGCAAACATGGCTAAAATCTGCAAGGTTTTACTCACGATTCAGGATTCTTAGAGACACTTCACTCTCAATGCATTTCTTCGTGTATAAACTTTGTTGTCCTTTTAAATGATTCATTGAATTATATTTCTTGTCTTGATTGTTTATCAAGATCTCTTTCTTGTCGTTTTACCGGTCGTTGTTTTCAGTCGTACATGAACATCGCATGCAAGGGTACTCGCAATGCTGCGTGTATCAAATCAATATGATGTTTTAGAAGTAAAATGGAAACGAAAATGATTCTGGGACCTCTTCCTACCAGTGTTCATTCAAACACACAACTGCTCGCACTGCAAGTTTAAAGCCTGGCAAAATTCAGCATTGGATGAGCGGACAGGTGATTTTGGAAATTAAATTAAAAAAAAGATTTTTTCGAATGTTTTTGTTCAAAGCCCATTATTACCCTGCATAGTACATAAGAGCAGAATGACCTGACTGAACAATCCCGTCTGATGGTGATTCTCCATATAAAAACGTTTTCTGTTTGTTGTCATTTTTAATTTGTTGTGGAAGGGAAGCGCGCGCTTCGATCGTCCCGAATATTGAATGAGTGCAATTTGTCTTGTATTGCCTGCGTCGCAGACGCTCTAAACCTTCGGTATATACAAATGGACCATACAAATGGTTTAGACAAGTGCGCGGGCCATGGTAGCAAAATTTCTGGATGACAACAAACCAAAACGTTATTTAAAAAGTGGATTCGCACTGTTTCAAACTTCATCGATCTAATTTTTCTATCTAATTTGCCTATTGTTGGCGAAATTTTCTGGGTTAAATCCCAAAGGACCGTACCTATAAAGTTTAGAAAAAGAAAAAGGAAATTTTTTTTGTTGTGCTCACCTAATCCATAAAGCGGGCGCGTGAAATTGGGAAGTTTCATGTCGCAGTCGTGCAACAACGGCTAAGAAATGTACAAAAAAGCGTGATGCACGTGCAAAGTTGTTTTTTGGCCAATCTAAACCCATTGTTTTTCTGCTGTTCGCCGTCACCGTTGCAAAATCTCCCTATTGTTGTCATCCAAAAAATTTTGCTACCATGGTAACGTGACGTCACACTTCTCTCTATTAATAATGGTAATAGGACTGACTGGAGTCCAATTCGGTCTGTAATCATACGAGTGGTAAACAAAATCGGTCGACCGCGTAGCGGGAGTCCGCTTTGTTTCATCACTAGTATGATTACAGACCGAATTGGACGACACGAAGTTCTGCTACCAATTAAATGCCGAGAGGTTTTTCTGCTAGCAGTGAAAAAAAAAATGCCATTCAAGCGCGCTCGTGATGGCGCGTACTGTCCCATTACTTAGGCATGACACGTACTGTCTTATTACACTGTCCCATTAGTGCTGAAATCAGGACAGTTCATAGCCTATCAGATCTGAGAAAGCAAAAAATGGCAAATTCTGCCCGAGCTCTGAACAATAAACAGATGTAAATGCTGGTTTACGCGCCAACAGATTTGTAAAGTGAACTTGTAGCGAGCCACAGAAAAAAAAATCCGGCCTAATTTTTCATTTTGGCCTTTCCTTTGGACAGAGAGACAAAACCGATAAGTTATAACGCGTATATTTGCTACCACCGAGGACTACCGTGTGTTAACTGCCTTTATAGCATAAAATTATATTTCGGGACTGTCTAATTACCTTTATAAAATAAAGGTGGTGTAGTTGGGCTAATAGGTCATTTTAATTTGTTTTTCACGCCTAATCTACTGTGGTCAAAGGTGATTGCTACTTATTTGGTGTACATATAAGACTATTAACTGATGTACGATTTTAGATGTTGTTTCATTTTTCACTATTTGCAAATTATTTTTTCTCTAAAATCACCCAGCCCCACCCTTAAAAGTCATATGGATCTCTCCAGTCAACTTATTTGTGGATTATAAGTTTATTGTTTGATATAAATCATAAAGTTATTCACTAGAGCTACGCTTTTGGCCCTAGCTTCGTACAACATATAAGGGGTGGTCAATCTCGGGAGTGAAACGCCGGTAAATCCTGTTTATGTCACCTAAGTTAAAGTTTCTCAGCTTGGTTTTAAAAGACCTCGTTGAATGGAAGAAAATGTGGATGGAACTGGGTTAGCCGTAAATAAAGAAGTTCGATTGCTGTGCCTGTCGGCCATATCAAGTGCTAATTACATTGAATATATTCAACACGGTTTCTTTCTTGACGATCTGTCTTATGTTTGTGGATCAAACCTTTCCAGCACGTTATGTAGATGGAAGTTTAGCTGTAAATAAATTTCGTTTTGTGTGCCTGTATCGGCCATATTTTAAGTGCTAATTACATTAACAGATACATTAGTAGTTGAAAGTTTGTTCTGAGTGAAACTACATCTTCTTCCTTATGACCTGACAATGCATATTTTAAAGGCAGCCGTTGATGGAAAACTAGCGACGCTTGAGGAATTTTAAACGGAAAACAACGCCTTCGGTATCAGTTTGGCAACCGCTTTTTCACTAAGGTTGGTCGAAATTCACTTCAGTGAGAAGTCGAGCGTCACAAAGATTAAACGATATAATTGCAGTTTCACAGCTTTATTTTTTGTCATCGGTGTTTTACTAGATTCTAATCCTCACTTTTTATTCTCTACATAATTAAGACCTCGTTGAATAGGGTAAAATGTGGATAGAAGTTAGCCGTAAATATCTTTCGTTTTGTGTGCCTATGTCGGCCATATTAAGTGCTAATTACACTGATCGATACATTAGTAGTTGAACAGTTATTTTAAGTAAAAATATACTTCTCCAATTATTTCCTTGAAAAGGCATCTTGATAAGGCAGCCGCTGATGGAAAAGTAGCGACGTTTCGTTTAATTAATGACCATCATCGACTTCGGCATTTGATTCTTTAAGGTTAGCCGAAGTTAACTTTCTTGAGACTTCGGAACATCACGAAGGTGAAAACGAGATGATTGCAAATTCTCAAAGTCTTATGGTCGGTATTGTATCGAATTTACCAAATTTTAATCTCCATTACTTTATCTTCAATATAATTAAGACCTCGTTCAATAAGGTAAAATGTGGATGGAAGTTTAGCCGAAAATAAATTTCGTTTGTGTGCGTTCACATTTATTTAGTAGTTGAACGTTTTTTGTTTTGAGTGAAAATAAATTTCTCGCAAGATGACCTGAAAAGCCATGTTAACAAGGTAGCCGTTGATGGAAAACAGTCAAGCGATTTTTGAGTCAGCTCAAATTCGGCTATTCTTCAATGTCAGTCGAAGTCAACCTCCGTAAGAGTATCATGAAGGTCAAAAGGAGATGACTGCAGTTTCACAAAGTTTTATAGTCGGTATTTTATCGAATTATAATCCCCAAAATTTATCCTTTGTATAATTACGACGTCGTTGATGAATGAGGTAAAACGTGGATGGGAGTTTAGCCGTTAATAGAAAATTTCGATTTGTGTGCCTGTGTCGGTCATGTTAAGTGCTAATTACATTGACATGTTCAACATTCTTGACGATCTAACTTTTGTGGATAAAAACGTTTCCAGTGCGTAATAATGCGAAGATTCATCAATCAATATTAAGCCCCACGGCTACTCGTCTGTAGATCGATTCTATTCATTTTTTTGAAGGAGTGAACGTTTAAACTTAAAAATCTGACCAAGGACTTTCGCTCAAGACGTCAACTTTCGAGTCTTTTTTGTAGCAAAATATTTAGATCATCAACTCGGATGACAAAATTAATGACTTTATCATTATTACTATCATTATTATTATTATTATTATTATTATTATTAGTATTATTATCGTCATCATCGTTCAATTCATGATCAGCAGCAGCTTACAATCGCTCTGAAAAGTTCCTTCGTCCTTCGTTAAGAAGCATATAACGTATGGAATGATATATCTTTCGACATGAAATTAGAGCGTTTTTTTTTCTTTCCTGTCCTTTTGTGTTTTGGACAACCTTCACAAAATTAAATGTCAAATTCATCAGAGTTATTGTGTAGGATCTCTTTACCGTCTCTTGATTTACATTTACATTTACCATGACTTTCTTGATTTTAAGTTGAAGTCCCGCCCATTAAAGTCAAAAACTGCACGTCTGTCGGCTCACCGAGGAAGGCGGCCCCTCCGGTTCGCGCTTCTCTTGCCGGCCTCTCTTTCAGTATACCATAATAAATCAGAGGATTCAAAACATAGTTGTAATATCCAACGGTTGATGTTATCACCAATGCGCTTTTTAAAATAATGTCCCTATGAAAACCTGAAGCTAATAAACCAGAGCAAATAAACTGTGGCACCCAACAAGCGACACACACACCACTGATCTTATAAGTCAGCCATGTCAGTTTGTTTTCTTGTCGCCTGTGAAGACTCGCTGCATCAGGCAAAGTGGACGAGCGAATCGTTCTGATAACGCGAATAGCGGTTACAATAACGATAATTAAGGTAACCGCATTTAAAACGTTGCCCATGATATAATAGATAAAAATGGCGTTGTGCGTCAGGTCTGACAACTTGGAAAAATAAGTTCCGAGGCTAAATGTAGACAAAACAATAAAAAATAAAACTGAAGTTAAAAATAGAGCACCTATCCATTTTCCCGCTATGATAAATTTCATATTACTTGGCTTCATGCGTCGGTTAAACGGACGCAGGACACAATCTTGTCGATCAATTGCCATTAGAGATAAGGTCACACAATTGACAACTGCGCAAAGAAAGCTACTCGATACCGCGATATAAAAAGCGGGTTTAGCGTAATCTATCTTGTCTAGTCTAGCAAAGGCGAGCATTGCTAAGCGAGAAGGCAGACTGAAGACAGATGAAATGATTCCATTAACTGCTAAACTGGCGAATAAAAAGTGGGGAACCTTTCGTAGGTCGCGACGCTGAACGAAAATATAACAAACTTTTGCGTTTCCTGCAAATCCTATGATGATGGCGATCAAAAACAGCGTCAGGTTTGTGATGATTGTTCCTGGAGCAGCTACCGCTGAAAGTGAAACGTTGAAACTTGACCGACTCATTTGAACTCTCTTATTTGATTCACTCTTCAGTTATGAAGTATTCCTGACGCTTTTTCTGCTTGAGCTCTTGCTTATGCTTTAGTGAATATTCTACCCTAATAAGTTCACTGCAGTTTCACACCGTTTTTTAAAGGTCGGTGTTTATTGAATTATAATCCTTGATTGGACCTATTGAATGGGGTAAAATGTTAATGGAAGTATAGTCGCAAAGAAAGTCCTTTTTTGTGTGCGTGCGTCGGCCATATAAGTGAATTAAATTACATCGATAAATTAGTAAGCCATTTTATGGCTGAAAGTTGATGTTTCGAGTAAAAGCTACATTTCTCCGTAGCCGTCTATGGCAAACTGGTGACGTTTGGTTAGGCTGCATTTGAAAATGATCATCGATTCACTTTTTTAGCATTTTTGCCGCCAACTTCGGACAGTGATTGGGTTCTCGCTTGCGCTTTCGGGCATTTTCCACACCTTGATAAGATGATTGCAGTTTCACAAAGTTTTATGGTCGGTGATTTATACAATTATAATCCCCTGTGATTTATCCTCCGTATATTCAAGAACTCGTTGATTGGGTATTATGTGGATGGAAGTTTAGCTGTAAATAAATTTGGTTTTGTGTTCCTGTGTCGGCCATATTTTAAGTGCTACAGGTAATTACATTTATTTAACGGATACATTAGTGGTTCAAAGTTTGTTCTGAGTGAAAATACATCTACTTTGTGTTCGTTTTGTGTGCCTTCAGTGTCGGCCATATTAAGTGCCCATTACGTTGACACCCCACATTAGTAGTTGAACGTTTGTTCTGAGTAAAAATTAATTTCTCGCAAGATCACCTGAAAAGTCGTGTTAACAAGGTAGCCGTTGATGGAAAACAAGCGATTTTTGAGTCAGCTCAAATTCGGCAATTCTTCAATGTTGGTCGAACTCAACTTCCGTGAGAGTGTCACGAAGCTCAAAAGAAGATGACTGCAGTTTCACAAAGTTTTATAGTCGGTGTTTTATCGAATTATAATCCCCAATATTTATCCTTTGTATAATTAAGACGTCATTGATGAATGAGGTAAAATGTGGATGGGAGTTTAGCCGTTAATAGAAAATTTCGATTTGTGTGCCTGTGTCGGCCATATTAATTGCTAATTACATTGATGTAATCAACATTCTTGACGATGTTACTTTTGTGGATGAAAACGTTTCAAGCGCATAATAATTTAAAGATTCATCAATCAATATTAAGCCCTACGGCTACTCGTCTGTAGATCGATTCTATTGATTTTTTTTTTCAACGAGTGAAGATTTAAAATTAAAATTCTGACTAAGGACTTACGCTCAAGACGTCGGCTTTCGAGTCTTTTTTGTAGCAAAATATTTAGTTTATCAACTCGGATGACAAAATTAATAACTTTATCATTATTACTATCATCATCATTATTATTATTATCATCATCATCAATTCGTGATCAGCAGTAGTTTACAATCGCACTTACAAGTTTCTTCATTAAGAAGAATATAACGTGTGTAATGATACATTTTTCGACATGAAATTAGAGCGTTTTTCTTCTCTCCTGTCCTTTTGTATTTTGAAAAACCTTCACAAATTCAAATGTCAAATTTAACAGAGTTGATGTGTGGAATCTCTTTACCCTCTCTTGATGTATTTTCTTGATTTGCTGATTTTTTTGGAAAAGACTAACAGTTACCATGACTTTCTTGATTTTAAGTTGAAGCCCCGTCCATTAAAGTCAAAAACTGCAAGACTGTCGGCTCACCGAGGAAGGCGGCCCCTCCGGTTCGCGGCTTCTCTTGCCGGCCTCTCTTTCAGTATACCATAATAAACCAGAGGATTCAAAACATAGTTGTAATATCCAACGGTTGATGTTATCACCAGTGCGTTTATTAAAATAATGTCCCTATGAACACCTGAAGCTAATAAACTAGTGCAGATAAGCTGTGGGATCCAACATGCGAAGCACACACCACTGATCTTATAAGTCAGCCATGTCAGTTTGATTTCTTGGCGCCTGTGAAGACTCGCTGCATCAGGCAAAATTGACGAACGAATCCCCTTTACAACGCGAATGGCGGTTACAATTACGATAATTAAGGTCCCCACATTTAGAACTAGACCAGTTAAATGAAATATCAAATTGGGGTTGGGCTTCTCGTATGTCATTTGAGAAAAAAAGTTTACAGGGTTAAATAATGACGGGGTAAAGAATACCCTGACGATCAAAACGGATGTTAAAACGAGAGCTCCTATCCAATTTCCAGCGATGATAAATTTTACATTACTTGGCGTCATGCGTCGGTTAAACGGACGCAAAACACAATCTTGTCGATCAATTGCCATTAGTGATAAGGTCACAGAATTGACAACAGCGCAAAGAAAACTACTCGATACCACGATATAAAAGGCGGATTTAGCATAATCGATTCTGCCTAGTCCTACTAAGGCGAGCATTGCTAAGCGAGAGGGTAGACTGAAAGCAGATGAAATGATTCCACTAACTGCCAAACTGACGAACAAAAAGTGAGGAACCTTTCGTAGGTCGCGACGCTGAACGAAAAAATAACAAACTTTCGCGTTTCCTGCAAATCCTATGACGATGGCCATCACTGACAGCGTCTGGTCTGCGATGATTGTACCTGGAGCAACTACCCTTGAACTTAAACCATTGAAACTTGACTGATTCATTGTAACCATCTTATCAGGTTTGATTCGTTACTCTTCAGTTATGAAGTATTCTTGACATCTTTTCTGGCTGTTAATTGCATGATCCAGTGCTTGGGCTCTTGCTTATGCTTAAGGGTATATTTTACCATTTGATCGCAGTTTCACGGGTTTTTTTAAGGACAACACCTTTGCAATTATTTGCATTGCAAATTACTTTTAAAAAGGCGCTTCATCAAGCTACTACATCCTAGCCCAACCCGACCACTTCTAACAATGGTGCTATTGTTTCAAGTGAGGTAGCAATCAACGCCTTGCCAGGAAAGGCAATGCCAAACTGTTGGCGCGGCACACGAAAAAAAAAATAAAGAATCGTCAGACGTCTTTAGGACTAGTACTTGGTTGCCTGCCTTGAGCGGCTCAGTGAGTTATACGAAGATAAAATAAGTTTCTAAGAAACTATATTTCTATGCCACATGATTCAATAACTCACATCAATTTATTCATGCATTGTTTATCTTTGATTGTTTTCTGATAATAATTAAAGTAATATCAATTCAGAGAAGAAATGAAAGACAAAAGATAAATTGACGACTTTGAGTGTACGAAAGCAGCGTTATATGTTTCTCTACACTGCGACAGAATTCTTCTTATTTCTGGCCCCGGTTGTACAAAAGGTGAATAACGCTATCAGCTGGATGTAGATAAATCTCTGTTATTCCAGTGGATACAATTTAACTCTCGTTGCAGATCGGCTACCCATAAATCAAAAAGGACTGGGTTAAAAATGGAGCCCTGTGGTACACCAAAACCCACAGAAAGTAACTCCGATGATCTGTTATCGATAGAGACATTTAGCATCAGGTTTTTCATGGTTCAAGGCAAACGGCAAACCTGAGGATGTCCGTGACCACGGTCTTGCGGTCACGATTGCAGTTTGCAGTTCACGTTTGAACGACAGGAAGAGCTTCCAGCTGTCAGTAATTTACGCCTACGGCAAGGTTTTTTGTCCTTAAAAATTGTACAGCCTCACGTTTAAAGGAAATGGGTTTCTTCACTCGCCTGAAATGTGCCAGTTAGATCTTTGAACTCGAATCATTGAATTCTTCATGTTTTTCGAGCCATAAAAGTGAAACACTGCGACTTGACGAAGAACAATATGGCAGTATTCTACAACAAACGCTTTGCTTAAATTCGAAATCCCAACAACGTGAAACTGCAAGCGCGTAACTGCAAACTGCAGTTCAAGGTTTGCAGTTTCGCAAGAAAAACCTGATGCTAAAGAGTTCTAATCTGAACAAACTGGCGTCCAACGAGTGTGCGGTGTTACTTCCTTGCGGTAAAAACTTGTGGGATCCTTCACTAATTCAAATGTTCAAATATATCAGCGGTGTGCTGAATCTCTGGACCGTTTATCTCCCCCGTTTATTTGTCTTGTTTTCTATTCTTGTGTGCAAGAGGGAGCAGAAACGCCCGTCAAACTAAACGTCTGTTGGCTTGCCTAGGAACATTATTCCCTTTTCTGTTCAGTATACCTCGATACACCAGAGGGTTCAAAACATAGTTGTAAAGTCCAACTGTTGATATTATCACCATTGCATTACCTACAACATCCCTATCAAAGTCTGAAGCTAACAAACCAGCGCAAATAAACTGTGGCCCCCAACATGCGACACACACACCACTGATATTATAAGTCAGCCATGTCAGTTTGTTTTCTTGGCGTCTGTGAAGACTCGCTGCATCAGGCAAAGTAGACGAACGAATCGTTTTTATAACTCGAATAGCAGTTACAATAACAATAATTAAGGTAAACACATTTATCACTTTTTGCCCATGATATAACAGATAAAGATAGGCTTGTGCTTCAGGTCTGACAACTTGGAAAAGAAGGTTTCAGGGCTAAGTGTTGACGGGTCAAACAAAACAATGAAAAATTTAATTGAAGTTAAAAATAGAGCTCCTATCCATTTTCCAGCTATCATAAATTTCACATTACCTGGTGTCATGCGTCGGTTAAACGGACACAAAACACAATCTTGTCGATCTATTGCCATTAGCGATAAGGTTACAGAATTGACAACAGCGCAAGGAAAGCTACTCGATATCACGACATAAAAGGCGGGTTTAGCATAACCGATTCTGCCTAGTCCGACAGAGGCAAGCATTGCTAAGCGAGAGGGTAGACTGAAGACAGATGAAATTATTCCATTAACTGCCAAACTAGCGAGTAAAAAGTGAGGAACCTCTCGTAGGTTGCGACGCTGAACGAGAAAACAAGCAACTTTTTCGTTTCCTT